TTTCCCTACTTTCCACTGGTTTGAGCTTTTGGATGTTCTTTTATCTGCTGTGTGCTAGTATACAGCACAAGGCATCTGGCCATCAGACCAAGAACTAACCTCCTTCATTTTACTACAAAAAAAAGAAATGAGAAGCAGAGCGCATGGTGCTCTTCTGTGCCCTGAGTGTCACGTGCTACAGAAGAACTTAAATTGTTTGGCTAGATACCAATACAATAAGTTGAAAAGGTCAAAAGTGCATTCACCAACTGTTACTCATGAAAGATTGCACCCACTCTTTGTGCAGTCTGAATTCAGAAAATACATTCAATTGTGCTTAGCCCAAGGACAATTTGTTTTAGACCTAAAAAGTCTTGTGTTGCAAACAGAATGCACTTTGTATTTTACTTTGTTAGATGACAAGAGATCATTGAAGTAGACAAGAGTTTGAAGTTAAAATGACTTGGAGCTAAATTTCTTTTGACAGAGACCAGGCATAGTGGGCTGCAGTCTGCTCCCAGCTGTGCTATTGTAACTCCACAAAAACCTCCATCAAGGTCAAGGCAGATACACTGGATTCACACCAAAATAAGGGAGAAATGGAGCCAGAAATGTGTGGTCACAAATGACTGCAAAATGGGTGGAAAATGCCCCAAGGTCAGAACATGCTGCTCGCTAGGGCTGTGCAAAATATCGCCAGCCATTTCATTCCGACACTGTTTCAACCAATTTCAAGGTCAAAACAGCAACATCAGAATGAAACAAAGGCCCTCAAAATAGCCTTGAAACAAAACGAGGCTGGTCGAAACGTTTCAAAAGTCAAAACATTTCCACCATAGGCTGGGGATGGGAAGTCAGTCCAGCTGGGCTGACTTCCCATTCCCAGCAGAAGATCCAGCAGGGGGCAGCGAGGCAGGCCAGCTGAGCTGCTTCCCCCATCCCCTGTGCTACATCACTCTGGGGGGTGGGAGGCAGCCCAGCTATAGCCTTTCTGTTTCGACGGAACAAAACAGAACAGCTGTTTCACCTGAAATGAAATTCGATACAAAACACTGTTCCGTTGAACTGTCAAAAGTCAAGGCAAAATGGAATGGTGTCATTTTGCACATCTGTACTGCTCACTTTCATAGCTGATAACATTTTATTCACTTTCCACAGCTGTAAATTGAATGCGCACAAACTTTCTGTTCTGTGTTTGTACAGCACCTCGTATAATGCAGTCCCAGACCATAACTAGGCTTCTTCGGCATTC